AAAGGGGAGGGAGGGACCGCGAAAGAGCTTTTAAAACCGGTCGAATGAGAACGGAACACGAGAATGCACGGGAGGATCGGTCAAACGAGTTGTACGAGCAAAAGCGACGTTCCCACTGCAACAGGACACCGATGACGGTGCGCGGCCGCGTCCGCGTCCGTGTATCGCACTTGGCTCGAGCGAGCTTGAACCGGCGCGGTATCCATGCGACGCGTATCCGTGCGCGTTGCTGGATGGACGTATCGAATGAAACGCGACACACCCTGAGAACAAAATAAGGATATGCTTTAAAAAGCGACGAGGGCGAACGAAACTCGTTTTCGTGAGTGCGCGCGAGCGCGCGAGGCGTGCTTCTCTCTCGTTTGCATAAAAAAAGAAAAACGTGCGTCACTCGCGCAATTAGCGTAATTCGCCACTTTGCACGCACACTCTTCTCGTTCGCGTTTCTGTCTCGCGTATCGCGCCTTATGGCAAAACGAAGGAGCGGGTAATTCGTTATTGTTAATTAAAAATCACCGATTATACGTATGACGTATGTATGTGCGCGCGCGCGCACACACACATACACAACAGCAGCAGACAGACAAACAGAGAGGGTGTCTCAAACTAACAAAGACAAACTTCGTGAGGATGTAAAGCAAATTGAGGCGAACAAAAAAGTCCTCTGCCATTTTACAAACAACTGCAAAATTTCAAGTTATTAATTATTGAAAATGAACATGTATATAGGCTTCTTTAAATAATAATTAAAAAATTTGCGTATTATTTGCAAATGGTACAGAACTTTTTCGTTCACCTTAATCCGTTCTACACACGCATGAAGTTTGTCTCCACTAGTCTGAGATGCTCTGTACATACTATATCATTACTATAAATATTGTGAATAAAAATCCTGCAAAACAAGAAATTTCTGCCAAACATTATTTTCTTTACACAAAGTCAAATAATTTAGAGGAAAAGCATTTATTTTCTACGACAAAGAGAAATCATTTAGCGGAACAACATTTATTTACTACGACAGCACATTTTATGCTGTTGTAGTAAATAAATAAATGTACAGCATGATTTCTTAAATATCGTCGAATATTTTAGGAGTTTATTTTTTAAATCATTTTATAAAGAAATTAACGTACGTTCATATGAACTTTTCTTCATAAAATTCTCCTAAAAATTCAACTCCTAAAATATTAGACTGCATTTTAAAATGTCCTGTATATTCATTTATATGCTACTATAAAATAAAATTGCTGTGCCTCTAAATGATTTTTCTGTGTGCAGAGTGTGTAAAGAGAGTGGTAGCGATGAAACTCGTGCAATATGAAGATATTACTCTCTTCGCACGGACTTCTCCTGGAGGAAAAATAATTTTCTATAGATACACATTCGCGTGAACGCTTTCACGCCTCGATTATCGCGGTAAGAAAGAGTGCGACGTGTCTCGCGTTCGTCAGTCTTCAGTGATAATTTTCGAAGTTTCGAATATGAAGGAGGATTTGTCGTATCTCTCAGCATTCTCGACGGGACATTCACAAAGAATGCTGTCTGTGTTTCGCGACGTACGGAGACGCAAGCAACAGCGGACCGTCGAGATTCGCACGAGAAACGCCCACGCGGTCTCAACCTCGACACTCATTGTCCGTAGTGCTTTCTTCGAGGCGATTTGAGTGATCCTTATTTCGAAATTGTCAGCAATTAGACCGAGCGCTTGAGACGAGGAGGAAACGACGAGCGAGCCAATAAGAAACGCAAGTCGGAGTCATTGGCCTGGCGAACTTTATAAACCAGTGGCATGCGCGAGTTTCCTCCGCAACGAAACGAGGTATTGTCCCGAGTTTCGAATTACTTTGAATTACTCCAAATTGTGGTAATCCGTTTTGTCAACCGTATATCTTATTTACTTCACATTTGTTTATTTAATAATATCAATCGTCTCATTGGACGTTGCACAAATAGAGTTATCGATCTTGATGTCGAGTGTCGACAGTCCAATAGAAAATTTCGATTTCACAACGCAGAAATAATAGAAGATAAAGGAATTATAGTTATTTTCGACCTCAACTATACAACTGTTTTTATAGTTTTAACCACAAAAACAATAATAGCAATATGCATATGTAAAGTGATTATCGCTGATACTATGGTATAACAGTACACGCAGAAAAATATATACTGCATTCGAATAAATATTACTTTTAATTATTTCATAAATTTATATATGTATATATTATAAATTAAATATGTAAATTCATCATAAGCATCAAATTTATTCAAAATATATTCTGAATTTTAGTAAGTTTAGTATATTTCAATCAAGAATATTAAATTAAAATACTAATACTAAAATATTTCGGTTTATTTATTCCAGTTGATCGAATTTAACTTTTCTTCGATAAAGTTTATATAATATCTTGAAGAATTTAATATAATCTAATATTTTTGAAGAGAAAACAAATTCTGCTTTTGAGTAAATAATAATTAGCTTTTCTAATATTTGTGATGAATATATTTTAACACTATTATTGAAGAAAAATATTATCTGTTCTAGATATCCGTTGCTTAAAAGAAAAAAAATCAACTCAGCAATTGCTTCGTAGTACAATATTTTTCTCTACGTTGGAAAATAATTTTTCTGGCTATAATTCTTTCACTGTAATGATTATAATTACCAATATCAAATATTTCTCTCTCAGTAAACAAAATCGGAAATGGAGCGTGCAAAATAACGCAAAACTACGCAACATGTTTTTGTGCAGATGTTTTTAGCGATGGTAAGAAGTGGAGAGCTCAATAAAAGCATACAGTATCCTCAAGCATTGATAGGATCGCGATTAACTTTGCCGCGTGCGTTATCGCTTTTTTATGATATTATGTTTATCTCCCCTCATGAGAAAATACAATTTAAATCGTTATCTCGGAACCGATATACATTATCACTGCCTTATCGAGAAAGTAATCAGGCTGTCACAAGGTTAGTGTATTTAATAAACTTTCAACGCGTCATCTATCTCCAACAGAAAAATAAATATACGCACGACAGAATTTGCAGGCCGATATCGTTCGTTTTGCATCGATAAGAAAATCTTTACGCGTATATGCGTGCCGAAGAAAAATACGTTCCAAGTTGCTTAAAACTTAAATGAAGAATTTAAACTATTTTACAAGACAATAATTTCGTAACGACTCGTTTTTCATCGATTACTTTGCGATGCAAATATATTTTTTATCGGCGCATGATTAAACTCATTATAAATTTTCTGTTCGGAGAGATCGAAGTAACTTCTCGTACTTGCCGGCCGTTTCACCTTAGGGAAGACGAGCAATCTACTAATATCGTCGCGTATATGTTGGCATATTCGTCATTATTAATAATGACTTGCGTTCCCAAGCACCAAGAGACAGCTGAGTGTTCGGAGGAAAAAATAAATATTTGCTATACTCGTTGGAAGTTATTTATGACTCGAGTCGATAATTCGTGAAAGCGATAACCACGGTATTTCTCGGCGTCTAGCTTATCTCGATCTCCGATTAATAGCGAATCGCGAGAGAATATACTCCGATACGACCGTGATTCGCGCGAGCAGGTGCGGAAGACGCTATAATTCCCGTACCTGAGAAGTACTCGCAGTATTCGAAATAGAGGGATATTCGCGCGTGGCGTGACTCGCGTAGACGGTGGAAACACGTCTGGCGAATGTCTCTCGTGTTGCTCTCGTTGCACCGGCATTAACCTTTGTACGGCTACGTGCCTGTGCGGCTGGTCGCTCCTCTCCCTCTCTCTCTCTTTCTTTCTTTCTTTCCACGATCGTCTCGCAGAAATAGAAACTGGATTGAGACTCGATTCTCGTTCGCCTTGACGCCCTTAATCGGCCGGGATTAACATCGGGATTTGTCTCACGAGGAAATCTCGCGAGTTCTCTATCAAGCGCGCTTCCGCTATTAAATGCGCGACAACGATCGGCGCCGAGTGTTGCAAACCACCTTCTCTGTTACACGCGTGATTAACGACCTCCGGCTCGAAGGATATCTCGTTCAATGAAAAGACACTTAACTAATGGCAGATCGAGCGATATTCAATTCGCCGATTTTTAACGTCGACCTAAGTCCTTATATCAGAGACTTAGCAATGACGGAGATTCGGGAGATAAAGGAATCGCGGAACGTCACGAATTCGACGTTCGCAGAAATCGTTCTACATGCCGGTACTTAAACTTTGATGTATGACTCACGCAATGTAATTGTGAAAAATACACGTAAGCAGACAGCTAGGCCGCTCGAGTCACGCCTAACGCAAATGATTTCTCCCGTACGGCGTATATCGCGCTCCAGTTTTGCACTGAAGCATCAAGATGGAGAAAGAGACAGACCGAGAAAGAGAGAGACAAAGAAAGAACAATCCGGTCATCATGACGATGACCGATCGGTAATGCAGTCGGAGCAGGGAGAGACGGGGAATGAAAACCGGCGAAAAGAAGCGTGTGTGTGCCCGATTGTGCGAATTGAAACGGAGCTCGCGCATGCACATTACACACCACGCACTTCGTTATCAGAACGCTCAGAATCGCTCAAGGTTGGATGAGGGGGCACGAGACTCCATGCACCGAATTCCCGGTAGGTCGATAAAAAAAAACCTGTTCCATTCGCACGTGGGAAGTTTCTCCTCGTGAGAGAGAGCTCACGGCGTGCATTACTACCGTTAAATTCGCTCGCAATTGCGTCCGAGAGCCGGCGGCTCATAGAGCGACGCCATTTTAAAATCGAGCGATTCAAATGTAACTCGCTCGCCCGAATCGCAGCCGCCGTTGCTCGTCTCGATATCGCACCGGGTCGTCGAACCGGTCATGCATAGGGAGAAAGGCGTAGATAGCTAGAAACGCACGTCGTGCGACTGTCAAAAGGGAGAAAATCGACGGACGAGTGGAAAAGCCAGCGTGAACGTATAATACGTACGTGATCGCGCGCGCACACCAGCGCCCGCACACGAACAAAAGGAAGGAGCATACCTGGTCTTGAATCTTTGCGTGTCGTCCTGGCCGGCCCACATGTTTCCTTCCGGAGAATATCTGTCGACGCGAAGCGGCGAGAGCTCTGCTCTGCTCGATAACCTCAAAGCACTACGGAGCGCGACCGAGGGGCTCTCTTCTCTCGCGTAAATTGTCTCTCTCTCTCTCTCTTTTTCTCTCTCGCGAGCTAAGGCGTACGCGCGTGCGTGCGTGCACACACGAAATTCGCACCGGCACACGCGGCGTCAAGCTGGGTCAAGCTGGGTCACCACGCACTCTCGCGTTTCCTCCGTTCGTGTGTGGCTTCCGTGCGGAGAGCGGGCCGAAAAGGAGCAGGGCACCGGCTGGTGCGAGCGAGAAAGCGGGAGATGAGGCCCGCGGAAGGAAGGAAAGGAAGAAAGAACGAACCGTCCACTAGACGCTGCACGTCGCGAAGCGCGAGAGTGGAGGCGCCACCTCCGAAAAGTCGAGAAACTCGCGCGAGAAACGGAACAGGGGAGCAGCAGGAGAAGAAGGAAGAACGAGAGAGAGAGAGAGAGAGAACTCGTAACCACCGATCAGCACCGCTGCCGTTGCGCACGATCACGAAATACTGATGGCGGTGAATCGGCGCGGCGAGGTGCGGCGCGAAGTTGTGCGCGGACGGCCGACGACTTCCGAACGACCGAGCGAGCGAACGAGAGAGAGAGAGAGAGAAAGAAAGACGACGGGGCGAGGCGGCGCGTCGATCGCAACTGCGTACAGGGCCTTAGGTTCGGGGTGAATTCGGAAAGACTCCCTCGGGTCGCTCACGCAATGTCATGCGTGACGGTTAGGCGACATACAACGCGTGACATATGAGAAAGAAAAAAAATATCAATATTTCCTTTTACGACGAACGTGTATCTTCGTCGTCGTGGGAGTAAACGCAAAACGTTTTTTTTCCCCGCTTCTCTCTCTTCGCCGATGTATAACTGAAATTTAAATCGCCCTGTGAGATTTACATCTTGTCAAAATCAACCGGCTGTTTTTAATTGATTCGGAGTATCGAGGATGAAAGATAAAGGAGAAATTTGTCGTTGGTAGTCGTACGAAATATAAAATTGCGTGCGTTGAAAAAAAGTGCGGCAGGTGCGCAACAACTTTGCGGGAGCTCAAGTATACATTGGTTCTTAAGCGCCTACGGGTACAACGAGCAACCACGAGATTCTGCCCTTAGGCTCATCGTCAGTCACGGACACCGGATAATTTTCTCCTGGGAATGCACGCTAAAACCGGGCCAGCGACAGCGGTTATATTTATCTTACCGACCGTGTCGCCGTTTCCCGTTCTTCCTTTTCTGTGCAAAATCTCGCGGTTGCTTAAAAATACGCTCAACCTACTTTCGAAGTGGTCAATGCACATCTTACGAATTTCACCGATCCGCAATTTGTATGTTTTTTTTATCGGTTCTCCGACTTCGTTCGATTGGCGACGTAAATATACCGCGTCAAAATGCCATTTTCGTCGCCTACACAATAAAAAATGATGTGTAACAAAATGCACAAAACAATTTTATAACAAACAGCCCACCTAAATTTTTATGTTGCTTTGACAAGGTGAATATGTTAAAAAGTAATATGTTAACAAAGTGAAATATATCAATTTAACATATCTTTGTAATTGTAATTTTTAATATATTCCCCGTGTTAAAGTAACACTACAATTTCAGTGGACTGTTTTTAACATAAAATCTTTTACTATGTATTCTCAACGATTACTCTGCAGAATTTCTCTTGTTATGTCACTTTTTGATTTTATATCAATTATCTAACAATAAAAATTTGATAACGCGCTAATCGAACATCGAATCGACATTTCGGGAAATTAAAGTCTATTCGAGTTAAAAGAATAATTTAAGATGACCTTATTGATAAGTACATATCTATAGCACGGTGACTAATCGACCGTGGAAAAATCTGATCTCATTATCCCGTCCCAGGATGTCTAATTATCGCGCATTAATATTAATTTCAAGGACAACCTCAGGAATTCAAAATCAACCGTCTTCTGTGTGCGTTCTGCGCTCGAATCTGCGATCATAATTTTTCCGCATGCTCGGCAACAATTTCCACTTCAACTGTTAGAGATTTAATTATGGATTTTTCGAGGAAGAGTTCACAAACACAGAATCAACGAAACTTCTATAAAAAAAATTGTCTCTGATTAATTTGTTATAATGTTCAATATGTGGGGCTCGATATCGCCATTCAACCGTCTGGGCAATGAAAACACGCGTCCCGAAATCCCGGATTTTAACGAATAATTTTCATCGCTTTGACGAGTCAATATGTCCGATAAGTCCATCGTCATGTAACAACAAAGCGAGATTCCTTGACGGCGAAACCGCGACGATGCGGTGCTTCTGCGTTGCTGTAGTAACAGCTGTTTTCCGAAGCACGAGCGCAGCATAGTGGTCGAACGAGTCCCTCTTCGTGCAAGAGATCGCTCCGTATCGCCGAATCATGCTGGCGGTGATGCGGCACGTCTCATGGACGTTAAGAGATTATTAAGCAATATAAAGTTTAATTTCATTGTCAATTATTGCAACGGCAGTCTCGCCCCCTGGGACATCGCGCAGACGATCGATATGAAACGCTCGTGTCGATCGAAATGGTGCAATCTGTATTATTATCGCCGAAGATTTCGCGAGGCGAAAATAAAAGATATATAAGAAAAAAATAAGGAAGTCGACGTGCGATTCTCAACCATGTAAATTCAAGTGAATTAAATTAAAGAAATTTATCTCAGAGACAAACAGAATAAACGGTGCTATCTACATTATTATCGCGTAAGGTTTCGCGAGGCGAAAATAAAAGATATATAAGAAAAAAATAAGGAAGCCGACTTGCCATTCTCTCGACGATGTAAATTCAAATGAGTTAAATTAAAGAAATTTATTTCAGGGACAAACAGAATGGACGATGCAACCTACATTGTTATCGTCGCGAGATTTCGCGAGGCAAAAATAAAATACAAGTAGATATGCGAGAGAAGATAAAAGTCGACGTGCCATTTTTGTAACGGTGTAAATGAAAAAAATTGAAGTAAAAGAATTTTGTTATAGGGATACACAGAACAAGCGAAATGAATTCACGACTCGTGCGGATTCTTGCGAATAGCTGCAGTGACAATCGCAACAATGTCGTGCAGTCGACCCGCGTAGAGAACGAATGCCTGTTTTCGTAACCCGACTTGGGAGTTACGAACGAGTAAGCCGCTTAACTACGAGATCGCGGAATTCCGCGAACGGGCGAATGTCGCGCCGCAAATTGCCGGCGTTATTTTCCCGGTCCCCGCGTGTACGTACGCGTGTACGTGGAAGCCTTTCCTGCTGCACACGGCGTGCAGCGACGGGTTCTCGCCGGTGGACAAAGAAGAGATATGATAGAGAAACGGAGAGAGGGAGAAAGGGAAAGAGAGAGAGAGAGAGAGAGAGAGGGAAAAAGAGAAGGGGGAGAGAGAAAGAGAGAGACAACGAAGGTGACCAAGTGCACGAAGGACGGCGAACAAAGGGCAGGCGAAACGTCGTGTACCTATGCAATTATGAGGCTTCGAGGCCCTAAATGTATACGCCTCTATGCGGCACGCTAAGAGCTGCGATGAGTCACTAGCTGGAGCTCGCATTATTCGCACGCCGCGTTCCACCGAGGATGCGCGTTAGAATGCGCGCGAGACGCGATACGAAAATGAACGGAATCTCAGAAATGTTATCGTTAATAACTTACAACGCCGACTGATAGGTAGCTAATCGTTTCTTTCTATAAATGTTCAAAAGAAGAAAAAAAAGTAGTAAATATCCTCGATGAAAATAATTTATAATTCGATCCAACGATCATGTATTAATAAAATTATTTTTTATTATGTATGCTAACAGCTATTTCTCTTTCTCATATTCTGTATATATACGACGTTTTAATTTTGTATTATATGTTATATAAAAGGTCTATTTTTCGCCATATATAAACAAAGATTATCATCATCATTCGTGATCTTGTTGATGTTAAATATCGAAGAGTGACCAAAAAATTGACGAGGGAGCGCGATGAAAAATTGAACAAAATTTCAAAAATGTTATCGTTAATAACTCGCCGATTGACAGATAGCTCGTTAATTACTGCGGACATTCGAAAGAAAAAAAAATAAATGTTCTCGTCGAAAATAATTCCTGACTTGATCCAATAATCATCCATGTGTTTCAACGTTAAATATCGAAGAGTGACTAACAAATTGACGAGAATGCGCGAGTCGCAATGCAAAATTAAGCGAAATTTTAGAAACATTATCATTAATAATTTGTATCGCCAACTAACAGGTGATTTGTTGATCCCCCTGCAAATGTTCAGAATCAAAAAAAAAGAAAAAAAGGCATCTTAAAAATAATTTATATTGAGAAAAAAACTTAAAAATTTATTTATGAAACATAAATGTTTATTTCACAGAAACAAACATTTATTTAAATACGACGAAATAAAATTGTATTCCCGGCAAATAAACCAATTAATAAGAAAACTTAGGTATATTGCGCGAAAATATATATTTCGTCATTACAGTCAAATTTTTTTCCAACCAATAAATATCGACGAAAATGTCACGAGAAACATTTACTTTGCAAAATTTAAATTTTCTTTTCTCAGTGTACGACTCGAACCAACGAGATCATTCTCGTATTTTGACATTAACACGTTGACTGCTACGGAACTTTTCACGATTCCGGTCTAAGAAGCCAATTTGATTTAATCAAGTAATGAAGCGACGAGATAACTCGTAGTTGGCGTCCTGGGCGAGTAAACAACTTACGAGATATCTCGTAGTTGGCAGTCAACGTGTTAAATATCAAAGAGTGGCGAAAAAATCGGCGGATCGCTCGAGATTGAAATTACGACCGAGATCTCGGGGCCGAGTCGACGACATTGTCGATTTAATTTCACGTTTTTGCACGATCGATCGAACGTGACGGCGGGACTTACTCCACCGTGTGGTGCTCGTGTGGGCGTTGTTCTTATTGGGCGTGTACCTCGCTACGGCGCCCGTGGTCTTCGCAGACAATAACGCATCATTACGTCGTCCTCCCTTCGTGCATACACACCGAATACGCAATAACAAGCCATATGTTATCGCCCCCGAATGAAAAGAAAGAAAAAAAACTCACGGCACGGTCAAAGCGCGCAGAGTTCGTGGCGCTCTCTCTCTCTCTCTCCGTCAAATCGTGGCCGGAGCGGCGGGCGTAATTATACACGCAAACAGGACGCGCGATAATGTTGCGAGGGAAACTTTCCAGCACGCATGTACGCAGCAACGGAAATCTAACTAAGAGAGGAGAAGAAAGGATAGATAAAAAATCTAAATGAAAATAAACGATCCCGAGAGGTGACGGGGCGAGGCGCCCCGATGTTTGTTGCGAGTCAGCCGCGCGCGAGCGAGCGAGAGAGAACGGTGGGTTCTTTTAATTACAAGACGGAATTGGTTGCTCAGGCCTAAACGTAATGACGCTTCGCCCGCGATCGTTCCGAGACATTGCACTGCGCTGTTTTCTCCCTGCGTGTGCATGTGTAGGATACGACGCGCGAGAACGCATACTCACGGCGCTCCCCGTTTATTGCGAGCATACACGGCGGTGCGGCGTTGATTAGACGACGATACGCGGCGGTAAACCGCCGATGTTTTTTCCCGGCGCATCTCCGCCACACATTGCAGCAGACAATCGAGCCTCGCATCGTCTGCCTCAACAAAATGCGTCCGGACAACTCGATCGCGCTACAAAGATCCGCGCTTCGAGCACGTCTCGAGATCGGCGCTTCTATTCGATAATTTTTAATGTATGAGTCACAGGCACAACGCGTACGTTACAAATCTTTGCGCAGACAAAATGTATCACAAGATAACTGCGCAACAATTGTGTTAACGACAACGACATTGTCGTTACAAATCACAAAATAAAAGGATTGAGGTAAAGTTCTTCTCGGGAAATAAAGGAGTCAGGGACTCGAACGTCTATGTGCTGATAACGCTGGTGACAACCAATACCGTAGATAACGTGTGTAAATGCATCGAGAGAACAAATATCTAAGAGATAAAAAATATTTATTCGGTGGATGTTAATAACATATTTATTTGTATTAATATAAGCTTTTACACGGAGAGAAAATTCTTCTCAAATAAGAAAATATAAATATTCTTAAATCTGCAGCTTTTCATAAAAGCAATTGTTTATTCTGTTTAGATAAAAGAATTTAGAAAGGTTCAAATAAATATGTTATTAGTATCCACCAAATAAAAATTCTTTTATTTTTTATATTTTTTTCTTTCAGTGTGTAAACTGGAAGTTTCGGAGACGCTTTAAAACAACATGATTTTCTTGAGAATTCTTTGGTTTTGCACGCGGAAAGAGGATCTCGTGCGGAGTTCGTGCGACTGAACGCGAAAGCGGAAATTCGGTGACAAGGAACGATATCTCCGTTATCGCGACCGAAGACAACATCCCAAGTCGAAATTGAATGCTATTCTGTCGCTCTTAAGGATAGTTTGCAGAATTAAAAGAATGGATTTTTCCATTTTTCTCCAAAAAACTCCGAAAAATGCGTGGAAAAATTGAAAAACCGGTTTTTCTAACTATAAAAAATTCTTACATATACAGTTGGACAATAAAAAAATTGCAACACTTTTTCCCGATGAGTTTCGCGAAACGTATCTCCTAAGTATTACTAAAAATCAATTTTCCTATCGAATACAGGATGCGTTGCGAAACCCGTCAAAGAAAAATGTTGCAACCTTTAATTAGCTGACTGTGTGCGTGTGCAAGAATCTTTGTGACCCTACTACCGAGTTTTCGTTCGGTCCTCAGGCAACAGAAAATCGGTTATATGAAAGTAGTTATTTTCCCGTGTACAATATCCAAGACGAGCGAAGGACTTTCAAAGCGTTTCGCCGTGTCTCAAGCCCATCGCTACGCGCAGCTGTTCTTCAAGGCGATATAATGCCAGAGAAATGTCCGATTTTATAAAGCGGTGTGGAGTCAGTCACGCTCTTCTCTTTTTCTATCTCTCTCCCTCTTATCGTCTCGCGAAACCGCAGGACTTCCTTAATCTCGCTCTACGCGCGTTTGAATATACGATAGCCGTCTCGTTGGAAGGCATAAAACTGCGACGGACGAGCCGAGGAAAATCTTTATGGCCGATATATCTTCGGTGCGTTTCGCTTCCACAAACAACGGGCAGTTACACGTGGCATGTAACGGTTTCGCGACGATCGACCTTAATTTCGACGACACACTCTGCGAGGTCGATTGGCAATTGATTTTTCCTCGATTCGGAACAGCCGTTGTCAATAACGCGTGAGATAGGAACGAGGATTCCGCGTGAAGCAAGCTTCCGAAACGCGACTGAGTGACGAGATATTGTCGTTCACGTTGACGTTCGCGAAATTCCGATTGATTCCTCTTTGTTGGAAATTTCATTGCAGATATAACTATCGGGAGAGAGATTTTGCGATAATCGTCGGGAAGTTACAGAAAATAAATGACAGAATTTGACGGAATTTTACTCGTGTATCAAAGTTTTCAGAATGAAGGTTTTTTAATAATTGTCTTAGAATCAATCGCTGATTGCTTGATTAATTATTATAGTGAGAGATCGAACGTGTAATTTTTTATAATTATATAGATATAATTTTATGTTTCCAATGAGAATAATATAAAGGACATTTTGGTAACTCCATAAAACCTCGACAAATCCGCCGCTCCGAAATTAAACGAGACGTTATTCCTTCTCCTCCGCCGTGCGTTTTATCGCCACTTTCGATGTACCGTACGCGATCTATCGTTGGCTTCGCGAACTTTGTCGATCCGTACCTTTCGAAGTCGATAGCGCGTAATTACGAATAGAACATTGAGGTAAAAAAGGGCCGTCTATATAATTATATAAAAGTCGATATTCCGTTGTTCCAAAATTGAAATTGAAAGAAATAATTTACGACACCACATAAGATGCATATCGATATTAAATAAATTGGTTTTCCCATTACGCAATTCCGTGTGTGCGTTATTTGCATCATTTACCATTAAAAACAAAGACACGGCAGGAGAAAGTATAAGAAATCACACGAAACACCCAATATAATTCTGGGAAAATACAACGATGACGGTGTACGATAAAAAAGTGTCGGCGTTATCCGGATGTATCCGGTATGGGGTGACACGCGCTGCATAATAAAAAATTCGCACGCAACATGGCGTGCGTAATTGGACACTCGCGAACCGTCTAATTTGTGCGTGGGAGCTCAAATTTGGTTTATCGGACACTGACATCAATGTGGAATCGGCACCCCATTTCGGAGGGGTATAATCAACAAAGGAAAATTCGTTACAATCAATAAAATAACTGTCTTGTGCGTATAAAAAGTTTTGAAATCGTATACCTTGATCATTTTCAACTGAATGAACAGAATATAAGGTCCCGACGATTTAACAAAATATAAATGAATAATAAATTTCATATTTATATTCGGGAAGGAGAAACATTTGACAGTGAAAATATCAAGCAAAAAATTTGTAATCAAATAACGAAGGTGATAATAAAAAGAGAGACAGAGTACTAGAGAGAGAGAGAGAGGAGATTCAAGTTATTATTAATAAGTAGATAACGTAAACTGTCACGGTAATGGCGATGAAATCGCAAAATTCGAGTGGATTTGTAATTTCGGAACGTGAAAAAACAAATACAATCGCGGAAAAAATGTGTTGACACCACACGTTCTTGCGTAGCCGGTCACACAGAGGTTGCGACATTTTCAGTCTCGATGGGTTTCGGAGCATGAGAAAAAATCGTGAGGATGGTCTCGCGATTTTTGTCTGTCTCTCAAGTAGACTAGACGAGAGGCGTCGCGACCTTTTCGCGATCAGACGCACGTCTATTCTTATTTGACCAGTGTCTGACGTTCGGACGCTACACAATTCACGTGTATAGATCTCTCTCTCTCTCTCTCTCTCGCTCTCCACCCTTTTCCCCTCCCTCTCTCTCTCTCACTCCTTTCTCTCCTTTTTCTCGCGTTATGGTGAGCTCCACCGGCGAACGATGGTGGAGCAGAAACGGACGGAGGGTGAAGGGGAGGAACTCACCCTCGCCGGCTGGTGAAAATAAAGCGCACGTACAACGTCAAATATCGGGATTGGTACTCACTTGCTGGACTTGCGACCGTCAGATAAGCCCTGGTACGTTCCGGTGGAGGTCATCTTCGCGGTGAGATCGGTCTGGTACGCTTGGGCGGATGAGGGATTCGTCGCGGGAACCGTCGCGAAGATTTTACGATACCACCGGACCGTCGGCCGAACGCGACTCTTCTCCCTGTCGTACGGAAATCAAATACCGTCCGGCCGCGCGATTGGTCGGCGCGCCGCGGCCGCCGCTGGCGCTACCGCGCTAATCAGTGCGGCGGCTGAATCGCGAGCGCCCCCATGGCGTTTAAGGAAATCCCGATTGATTTCGTCGTTCGAGCAACACGTCGCCCGTTTCTCGCATTATTCGTTTTTCGCATGTTCCCTGCCGTTCGTTATCATTCATTATTATTATTCTCTACTGTACGTTGTCATTCGCCGCGCGTTGGAAGGTCTATTGACCAAGGAGTCAGAAAGTACCTTTTTTTTTACTCGTTAATTCGATGCTGACAGTCTATGATTTATTTTTTGACTTTACGCTCGTCTTTTCGCGCGTTTCTATGGGCACTCCGCTGCGATGAGTCACGATACACGAATATATTTAGACGCGACAGGTTCGGTCTGAAGAATGTCTACACCGGAAACTGGAAAACGTTATTGACGCTTGCCGCACCTGTCCCGAACATCCTGAGTGAGTGAGAAGGAAAGAGAGAGAAAGAAAGAGAAAGAGGGAGAGAGAGAGAGAGAGAGATAGAGAAAGAAAGAGAGAAAGAGAGAGGTCCTTTTGTACATTGTCGGCAAATTCGTTCGTTTGGACTTCCATAAAATGAAAATATTCTACTATTACACGTGTGAAAAGTTAATGTACGTGGTATGTTGTAGAATGGTAAGAATTAAGTCGTGAAAAATTTTCACCGACTCCGAAAAGCGCCGTTGCATTTCTAGGTACGAGTCTGTCGAGCAGACTAACGCGCTCTTGGTGGGGACGGTCGAGTGGTGGGGGGAATCCCTCCATCCGGGATCGTACCAACTGTTCGAGATCTGTTGAGTAGTGTACGCCGTATAAATAATACGGAAAATCGGAGAAGCGGCTCCGACGCAGCTTGGTCGCGCGTCACCGTCGTATACCTGTGGTGTTTGAAGGAAAGTGAGAGAGAAGAGGAGCAACAACGCCAAGATGTTGAACCAGGCGGTGGTCGAGGCTCTGTACTCTGCGACGTACATTGAAAACTATCTGGACTGTGTGGAAAATCTGCCGAACGACCTGCAGAGACACGTCTCCCGACTACGAGAGTTAGACGCCACATGTCAAAGTAATTCGATCAGATCCGTAGTCACAGAATATCTCGATGTTTCGATGTTTCTGACGTCCTATCGAATCTTCGACGATACTTGTTGCTTTCTTGCGATTTTTCCGACAGATGTTGACGCCTCGTACATATCGGAATATTTACAAATACAAATTGTCAACAAAGTCGATACTCCGGAGCTTGAGCTGTAGCTGTAGGCGTAACAATGACTTTCAAATAATGAAAAAATCTGACGGATGTCTTGTATCCATAATTTAAAAATATCTTCTCGACATTTTTTATCTTTGGAATCGATCTGTAAATAAGCTTTGGCGCGAGAAGAAAACGAAAATTACATTGTATTTTTCTTATAAATTTTATAAAAGATTTTTGGAGAATATACTTTTGAAAATGACTGCAAGTCCAAGTCATTCAAATAAAGAAAAAGTAAACTGACTTGGAGTTTAATTACAAAATTGTAGAAAAAAGGAGAAGATAGTAATGGTAAAAATTGGCCAGTAATATACTTATCTAACCTATTTAGACTATTTTATGATTATGAGTCATTAGAGGTCAATCAAGTTCACATCAGTATTGATTTATCGCCACATAATGTAACTTTATACTAAAATGTTTCAAATATTCTCTAACACAGGATATATTAGTATAGTTTTCATTCATGGTTTTTGTATAAAATAAGGCATTCAAGTTGCTGTAAAAAAGTGATAAGTGGAGATCCTTAGAGTTCACATTTATACTCGTGAAACAATTAATCAATATATTCATTGTCCCTGACATATTTTATTATATTTTATTTATTAAACATGATGCGATTATTTACTATTTCATGTTTGCATTGTGTAGCATATCTGCGTGAGGTGGATCAACAACAAGAAGCACTGTGCAGCGATACGGATTTGGCAACTAAAAGGAGAGCAATGGTGAGAATACAGCAAGCTCTGATCGCAGCGCAAGAAATTGGTGATGAGAAATTAGATATCGTTCAGCAGATACAAGATCATATAGAAAACAAGGCCAAACAGTTGGAGTTGGATTATCAGAATTTAGGTACGTTGTATGATACATCTCTTGGTTCCACGATAGAGTGCATAATTCTTATAATATTTTATTACTAATACAGATTTCGGCAAGGAACAAGAGTGCTCCGAGTCTGCCCGCGAGGCGAACATAAACAGCAACACGAACAACGCGAGTCACGCAAACAGCACGGAACGCCAGCCGAAGCGTGCTAGAAGAACGAGGACCGAAACTTTGGTAGAATCGGCTCATTCAATGGACATGTTAGTCATGGCAGAGACTCGTTCCTCGGCATTGCCCAGCACTAGTAACGGCCAAAAGAAAACAACTGCGGCTACTACCGGCAAAAAGAAGAAGAGAAAATCTCGACAAGGCAACCAGCAGAATCAACATCGCGAAGACACGCCGCCGCCACCGGAGGATGATCTTGCTATCGATCCGGATGAACCTACTTATTGCTTGTGCGACCAGATATCTTATGGCGAGATGATTCTCTGTGACAATGACCTGTGTCCCATAGAGTGGTTCCATTTCTCTTGCGTTTCCCTGACTACTAAACCTAAGGGAAAATGGTTCTGTCCTAAGTGTCGTGGCGACCGACCCAACGTCATGAAACCGAAAGCGCAATTCCTCAAGGAGCTGGAACGATATAACAAGGAGAAAGAGGAAAAGTCGTAGCAAGAGGAGAATGCGGAAAGGCTTAAAAGTTTTGGCAGAATTAATTGGACTTGATCATCAGGCAAGATTCCCGTGAAATAGATGAATTTTAATCTTGACACGTATGAAGACTCGTGGATTAAAATCTCGTATTCCACGGAAATCTCAATTTACTGATACATACATGTACATTTGTTTTTGTAAATTCAATTCTTTCGTATAAAAGTCAATATCACCGAAGAGCGATGGTGTCGCCGATTATTCAAGCGACACCATCGTTCTCTTAATTGTAAAAATATATTCAAACATTTTGTTTCTAAGTCGTAGATAATAACTGACTGTATAAAACACATTATTGTACATAAGGCGTAATATCATTATTATTAAATTTGAGTCACAAATTTTGTGTTTGAACGTACTTCCTTTGTCGATAATCGACATTTTTCTCATTCATCATACACAACAAAAAGATACTAAAGAAAATAATTCATATATTTATATACGAAGTATATAATGTAAATATAATAAATAGAGAGTAAGAAATTTGAAGGAATATGTAAATAGTTATAAAAGTGTTGACAGAATTAGTAGAAAGGTGAAGAATTCGTAGAACATAACTTCTTTCTTGCAAAATTTATTAATTCGGTACTATATCGAGTATGACATTCATTTACAATTTGACGCGCAAGCGTGATGCCCTATCGATAAATATCGGATCCAAAACGAGTTACACGGTTTTCTTATATTTTGCGTTATTACATGTGGTGAAAGAAAACTTTCCACAAACGCACGCGACTTACAAACTTTCATATCCTTTAACATGAATGTACTTTTTCCTCAAGCTCGTCTACACTTGTAAAACAGTACAGCTTGCGTGCGGGATTAATATATGGTAAAACATTGCGTTGGGATATGAACGTTTATCTTTTTTTCCTTATTTATGTGTTTTTTCCAGAGGAGCGCCTAAAGCCTAGTGAGTAGGACGATACATACTGGTACTTATAAGTGATGATCACATAAGTTCACAGTGCGAATCCACGCCATTCCAGTTTTCTACATTTTCGTCATTTTTCCTCTGCAACAAAGTGAGAAACCGTATAAGCAAGCTTACATCGTCTATCTAATGCCGATATGAATTGAATGAGTGCTAAGAACGTCATTTTCCTATAATTTCAACTGCATGTACGATTTGACCGGGAGTTTGTTATTTTCACATGATACGAGAACTATTTGCAAATAGATCAGTATGTAATCAGAATTCACGATAAATCTTTTATGCAGATTTCATTTTCAACTTTTCAAATACTTTTCATCAATTAGCAAAAGGTTTAGGACAATCAAAATAGGGCATAAATCATCCCAAGTGATAGAGATTGGGATCAACAGTTGAGACAAATGATTAAAAATAAATCATATAGGTAAATAAGGGGACACAACAGAACAAACGAAAAGTGATCTCAGATTTATTAGGTTTTAAAATAAGTGACCTTAAAGTTTAGTGTGTTTAAATTATTAAGTCGTTCAAGCAGAATTGTATAATAATAATAAAATATAATTAGAATAACTAGAATAAGTAGCTTTTAACAGTTTTTTTTTAATAGAGAAAATTAAAAATTAAAATTAAAATTTTCTGACATGGGAAAGAAAAGAGTTGCTGATTTGCGTTATATCGGATGCAGTCAACACTAAAAAGTCGACCTTGCTCTTATGTATCGTACAAAGTGGCATACTTAATGTCAGCGGAGATCTTCTGTGTGACTCTCTTGGAAATTCAACCAAGACTGTTCAACTACAGTGGCCACTCTCTTCTCGTATTCCCGTTTATTCTCTTGGTATAATTGCGCTGCTAAAGAGTTGGCTGGCGAATTTGGATTCGGTTCATCCAAAAGTGACTGTAACAAATAGTTTACACATTTTCTCAACAAATGTCAGATATAACGTTTGATTACACAGAAGTGAATTATATGTATAGCAAATGTAAAGCAGGAGTCGACGGATGGAAAAAGCGAACATCAGGTTACAACAATTATCAGACTATAAAGTGAAATTATGCATTTATTATTATATTATTATTATCATTAATATGTATATATATATATATTTCTTATGTATATGTATATATATTATATATATTATATATATATA